TGCAGTTCAGAGTATTAAATTACCATAATATCTTTAGTTGATTTTCATTTGTTCTCCTTGTTACGTCGCTGGCAGCACTTCAGTAATTTCAACACCGAACCGCACTGAAGGTGTAAATGCAAATTCTATCTGAAATCCGATTCTGTGTCCACTCATCACAAAGTGCTTTGAAAAAAGTCAAGGTAATAAACCAATAATGAAAGTGGAATCTCTGTACCAGGAAGGCGCCCTGTAAGTCCTAACCCTGGGTAGCTTCGTTGCGATGCAGATCGCTTTTTATTATCAGTCGGTCACGAAGGGTAGAAAATTCGCAAACGCGTTTTTAATTTTTTATCAGTCGGTCAACAAAAGGGAAGAAAGGACAAAAACTTTGGGAAAGGGGTCATCGCAACTTCAGTCGGAAGTAGGAACTTAATTTGCAAAGAGTGCAAATGAACCCCTGTACTTAGCAATCAGTGGCAAATCAGACCCTTAACTCATTTCAGCGGCAAACAAACCCTCAAACTCATCAATTGGTGGCAAATCAGCCCTTTTTAACATGTGACAACAACAAATCGTTAACTCTCCATGATTGTTGCTTGAGTGGCTTTTTGTGGGTCCATATGTTGACATGGCTGCTTAGATGGCATTCTATGGATGAAATTGATGGCATGGCATACTTTTTTATAAGTTAATTTATTGATCTAAACATATTATTTTTTATGGTAAAAGAATATATTATATTGAATGCATATAAATTCTGGAAATTCTACCAAAAAACAAATATTAATTCTTAAGGAAAAACTAAAAAGAATTAATTGTTTTCTTCCCCAATGAACATCCAATTTTCAATTTGGAGGTTTCAGAAACCCTAACCCCTTTTTACGCCTAACTTGTAGAACCATATGAGTTTCCCATCGCTTTTTGCTTGTTGAATGCCAATCCAACCTCAACAAAAACCTCCTCCACTTGGCCGCACTGTTGACCCCCTATTTCTCTGGCTCTTTATGGCCAACCATTGGATAGTAATAGTACCAAAGCCAACACCAGTGATGGCTGGCTAACTATGGTCGTTGGGCAACGATGACACTATAGTCTGACGCTGTATCGCTGTTAGCAAACCCAGATTTTGGAAGTTTCTAGATTTGTTGTAAATCATCCCTCCGGGCTCTTGTCCTTTTCCATGATCAAGGAAATGCGTTTTCTTCTTCTTTGAAGAACTTGAGGATTGAGGAGTGAAAAGTGAGTAATATTACTAATTTTTGTCCTTTGAGGAATGTGATGATGAAGTCACTAAGGATGGGAGAAAGAGGAACTCAATGATGGTGGTAGAGAAAGATGACCAAATTCTCACTGGTGAAGTCTAAGAAGAAGATTAAAAAGTCTTTCATGGAGATTACGGGCATGGCTTTTCGTCGACCAAATAGGCAGTTAAGAGTTTTGTGGAAATAATTGGATGTGAATTCGAATTTTAATTGTGGTTCTCATTCATTTTACTTTTTTTTTTTTTTGTTATTTTGATTCTTGTGGTGTCTTTATTGGTTTAATTTAGTGTAAATAGATCTATTCTTTATTCATAGGATGTTATTGCTTGGTTGTTTGGATGTTTGGTTGCTTGGAAAATACTAAAAAATTTGCAGAAACTGGAGTTTTTGAACCTTTGGTTTTTTATGTTCATGGATGAAGAATGTGAAATAAGGAGAGCAAGTATTTGAGTTTTTGATTACTTGAGAAATTAGGAAAACTTGGAACTAAATCTTGTTGTATTTCTTTTTGTTTGAAATGGATTTACTAAGGTTTGGGTTCATTTTGGTTGGTTTCAGTGGCTGAGATTTGGCTGGGAGGGAAAGGAGGGAGGAGAAAAGATGAAGACGGATGTTTTTGGCCCCCGAGTTTTATCAAGTAATTAAATAATTTGAATTAGATATTTGTATATTGCAAAAAAAAAAACGAAAATCATTATGTAGACCTTCTAGAAGAAATTTAAAGTCAAGTCAGCAGTAGGGTCCACAAAAACACACACGGAGTTAAGTTTCTAACGATTTGCTGATGTCACATGTTGAAAAAAGGGCTAATTTGCCACCAGTTGATGAGTT